GTCACACAGCTCTAGATACACATATAGTGCTGTAGCTTCTTCATTCATCTGTAAGGAGGACATGTAATGGTTGAGGACACAGGCTCAGTTTGAATCCCCACTATGCCAATTACCAGCTATGTGACTTGGGCAAAATGCTCTTTCTCTCTGTACCTCAGTCTCTTTTTAAAAATATATATTTTTATTGATTTGAGAGAGGGAGGGAGAGAGAGAGAGAGAGAGAGAGAGAGAGAGAGAAACATCAACAATGAGAGAGAATCATTCATTGGCTGCCTCCTGCTCGCCCCCACCCCCACTACTGGGGATCGAGCCCGCAACCCGGGCATGTGCCCTTGACCGGAATCGAACCCGGGCCCTTCAGTCCTCAGGCCAATGCTCTATCCACTGAGCCAAACCAGCTAGGGCTGTGCCTCAGTCTCTTACAAATGGACTTTAGGAATGGATCCTACTTTACAGAATCAGTGAGAGGATTAAGTGCTTGGCACAGGGCCTGGCGCATGGCAGGGGCTCAGTAAGTGCCACCTTCAAAGGAAAACCCCTCTCTGATGGGCTCATGGAAGTCATTTGGGACCTGGCAGAGGTGTATGACATTTTCCATATGGAAGGCACTAAGGGTAGGGCCTCTGGAGTCTCTCATGGGTGTGGACCCTGCTCTGCCACTTGTTGGCTGTGTGTCTCCAGGCAAATGCCTCTGTGCCTCTGTTTTCCTCATCTGCAAATTGGGCAGGACAGTGGTTTTCACTTCAGGGTTGTGGAGGCTCTCGATGAGAAGGCACATGGAAAGGGCTTGGTGAACAGTTGCAGAATCCATGAGCAAATTCTTCCTGCTGCACTCTCCCCCCCCCCCCAGGCCAAGGGACAGTTTAAGAAGCAGTCGGTGGCCAACGGCGTGGAGATATCTGTGCCGGTGCCCAGTGACGCCGACTCCCCGCGCTTCAAGACCAGCGTGGGCAGTGCCAAGTACGTGCCCGAGAAGAACATCGTGATTTGGAGTATTAAGTCTTTCCCGGTGAGCACTGGAGAGGGGTGGGGCTCTGCAAGGACCCACTCTAACTGCTTGAGGGCCAGGGGGATAACCAATCAGAGACCCACATCTGCCTGCACATGGTTGTCATTGCGGGGACGGGGGGCGGGGTAATAAAGCTAGACATCAGGCTAGGCTGGCATGGTGGTAAAGCTTCCCTACCAGGTCTGAGGCACCCAGCCTTGGGTTCAGATTCCCACCCCACTCTTTTTTTTTTTAATATATATTTTTATTGATTTCAGAGAGGAAGGGAGAGGGAGAGAGAGAGAGAAACATCAGTGATGAGAGAATCAACAATTGGCTGCCTCCTGCACGCCCCCTACTGGGAAGTGAGCCTGAAACCCAGACATGTGCCCTGACCAGGAATCAAACCGTGACCTCCTGGTTCATAGGTCGACGCTCAACCACTGAGCCACACAGATGGGGCTCCCATCCCACTCTTGCCTCTCTGAGCTGCATGGCCTCGGGAAGCCCTGTTCCCCACATGGAGCCTCAGTTTGCCCACCTGAAATAGGCAGGATTATGTTACCCACATCCTTGGGCCCATGGAGGGTTTGGTCTGTCCCTGGAATCAGGGAGGGGGGGTGGGGAGGGTTCATCAGGGCCTGAAAAGTGGGAGATGGCCCCACCCCACCTTCCAACCGGGCTGAGGCTGTGAGTCTTAGCCAGGAGCCTTCCTTGTCTGTGAAAGGGGCCGAGAGCTAAGACGGCTCCAGGGGCTGTTGTGAGGATGGTCTATGGTGCTTAGGGACCCCTCGGTGTGTCTGATGCCCCCCTGTGCCTTTAGGGGGGCAAGGAGTACCTGATGCGTGCCCACTTTGGCCTCCCCAGTGTGGAGAAGGAGGAGGAGGAGGGCCGGCCCCCCATTGGGGTCAAGTTTGAGATCCCCTATTTCACCGTCTCCGGGATTCAGGTAAGGGAAGTGGGCAGGGTGGCTCTTCTCTTAGACCTGAGTAGGTTCCCCTACTGAGTCACCTCTCCTCTGTAGCCAACCATGTCTTTTCCCCAGAACATTGTTGTCTCTTCTGCCCTCAGCCTGGGTCTCCTCTCCCTCTCCTCCTCCCTCCCCCTCTCCCTCTGTTCTGTGCCATCTTACTCCCCACTGACTTGTAACTTCCATCCCTCTCCTGCTTACAGGCTGTTCACCATTCCCTTGGCCTGTGGCACCTCATCTCCCCCAAACTGTGTTGTGTCTCTTTCCTCACACTGTGTCATCTCTTTCTGGACCTCTCTCCTGGACCACCTTCCTTTCCCCCGTCCCACTGTCCATGCCACATGGTTGCCCCGAGCCATGTCACTTAATTACTCCCAGCCTGTGCCCTTACTTCCCCAAGTGGTGTCACATATACTCCCCTGGTCCCAGCAAGCTCTCTCCCCTCAACCTGGGCCCCCTCCTTTCATTTCCTTTCAGGTCCGATACATGAAGATCATCGAGAAAAGCGGTTACCAGGCCCTGCCCTGGGTCCGCTACATCACCCAGAGTGGTGGTAAGGCAGCCGGCTCCTTGGGACAGTGGGGTCAAAGGGATGATGGGGATGGTCTTGGAGTTTTGATACATTCTCACTCTCACTTTGAGAGCTCCAGAACTCCACAGGCCTATCCTGTCTTTGTCACCATGCCAACTTGGGCCTTGGTTTGCCCATCTTTAAAATGGGGGCAGTTATCAGTTCCATCTGCTGCCTGGAAACAGGCTAGTTACTGTGGGTTCATTCCCTGTGTTTGATTCACCCTTGGCCTTGTAACTTCCTGGCAGAATTGATCCTGAACACTGGGGCTGGGGAAGGATTGGGGAGGCTGTCCCTCTGCGCCATTTGTACGGTTCTGAGATGTCCCTGCTCATTGTTTTCTTGCAGATTATCAACTTCGTACCAGCTAGAAAGGAGAGGAGGTAGGGCCTGGAACACGGGCCTCCCTCTCCCTCGGTCCTGATTGCGGACTTTAGAGGGAGGGAAGGAAGGTGGGGGAGGTGTGAGCAGGCCTCTGTTGGCTTAGCAGTTTCCTGCTTCCTGCTCCCAGCACCTGGCCCCCTCCCAGTCTTGTCCTCTACCCATAGGCTGGGAGGGATGGCCTCCCAGCTTCCCTCTTCCACTTCCACTTTTGTATGAAGAAAGAGAGGAGGGGCCTGGAAGCCCATTCAGGAGTGCCTTCACGCAGTGACCTGCCTTAGGGGTGTTGGTGCCCCTCCTTCTTCACAGCTGCTCATTGAGGATGGCATTAAAAACATCAACTCAGCTGTGCATGTGCTTCTTGGCTGGGGACTGGGGATGCCAGGGATGAATTGCTGGGATGGGAGTGGGTAGCACAGAGCCATTCTTCAGCCCTGGTCACAGCTCCTCTGGGCCAGTCCAGCTGCCTCCTCCTCGGTCCCCTGACCGGGGACTTTCCTCCCCGACCCCCTAGAGTCAGTTCCCCTCGCAGCCGCCAGAGGGCGCTGTTAAACCTCCAAGTCAGCCCTGGCTCCTCCGCTCAGAACCCTGGCGTGCTTCCCTCCTCCATTTGTGCCACCCATCCCGCCACCTACGTGCCCTCACCTCCCCCTCCATACCCGGCTCTTCCTGGACACACCAGGCGCACTCCCACCGCAGGGCCTTCGCATTTGTAGTGCCCTGGACCTGGCATGCTTTTCCTGGGTATCCACACACGCTCCTTACCGTAACTTCCGGTCTCAAATCAATGTCACCAGTTCAGGGTGACCTCTGTTTCAACAGCCTCCTTTCCCAATAGACTATTATCCCGTTGTATCAACTCCCTTAGCGTTTACCACTCTGAAAATACGTAATTACTGTTCCCTCCTGCCCTGAGCTGTAGCTCGCTCTCCAGTTGGGCGCCTACCATACAGTAGGTGTTCAGTAAAAAATAAAATAAAAATTTCCCCCCAGTAAATGTTTGAATGAAGGTCTCTGCCAGGTCCAGCCACGTGGCAGCTGCGGCCGTGAACGTTCCTCTCGTCCCTTGCACTTGCTGAGCTCGGGCTGATTCAATCTGAGCCAGAAAGAGATTTCCTCCTCATTCGCTCGTTTTATTTTCTCCACGGTGCCTCACGCTGTCTTAAATTATGTAGGTGCTTGAATGTGCGATGGGAAAGGTTCCTGCACAAGGTGAGTGCATGAATGAGACAAGTGCATTTATTCGCTCCCTGTGAAGGACGAATAAATGCTTATCGCACAGCATTTATGGTGGAACCGCGGGCGAGGCGGCCCCAACGGAGGCGCTGGGTTCCTGGAGCAGCCCGCGTTCCCCTGGCCTTGAACTTTCTCTCCCCGGTCAGTTAAACCGGCTCTGCCTCCCGCGCTCCAGGCGCATTTGAAAAACCGAAAACCCCGCCATTGCCGGCGGTCCGCCAATCGCCGCGGCTCGGCCAATCAGGAGCTGCACCGCCCACGCCAGCGCTCCAACCCTCCCCGGCAACGCGTAGCTATTGGCTGCCCTGGGCGCGTGGGCGGGGCGTCGCAGGGTCGGGCGCCGGGCGGCGCGGCGGGGCTACTTTGTAGCGAGCGAGTTTGTAAGAAAACAAATCGGCCGCGTTGGGGGCGGAGCTCAGCGCGCGGCCTCGCTCCCGGGCGGACAGCTCCGCAGCCGCGTCTCGGCGTCTGCTCAGAAGAGACTCCGCCCGCAGAGGAGGAGGGAGGGTGAGTGGGGCGGAGACCGGGCCCCCTGCGGGCCGCGGAGGGTTGGGCCTGCTTCCCAGCCCCTCGCGACCTGCCGGCTGACAGCGGGGAGGAGCCGGCCGGGGG